ACCCTAAACCAGGTAGGATGCCTCGTGTGCTGCGTCGGCCTGATCGTCGTATGAAAGCCAAACACGCCTGACGAACAGCGGGACTTGGCCGTGGTCACTACTCCACGTCAATAAAAGGTGTATTCGATCAATCCGCGTCCACACGACAACTTGGCCTGCATTCCTCGCTACACATTGTCTTCCATCTTACTCTCCCACCTTCCAGCCTACCAATTTGTCTAAGGTTTCCACATAAGATTTGCCGAGTTCAGATAAAAAGATTCCTATGCAGGAGCCACTGGCAGTTTCGAAGTCGACTTATTTATTGGTTAAAGGCCTTTTCCAAGCCTCTGAGACAACCCACTCGAGGGAGTCAACGAAGGGTCCATTCTTCTGTATCCGGAATCCGAGGGGTGAGCAAAACTGGCGAGCCGAACTCAGCTCGCGATGACTCAGCTCTTCAGTCTCACCCCTTCTCTTCACCCGGATTGCGCCAGGCTAATTCCTCTGCTGCTCACTTTTAATTGGCCCCCAGCCTGTAACCTGATCTCGATGCCTCACGTCGAATGTGCCCTTTCAGGCTCTCTTGTGCACGCTAGCCAATCCCGACCCACACACACACACATATATATATATACATACACACACAAACCTCAAACCTGGTAGGCAGGCTTTGAACTATACTCTGACTGTCGACCAATCACACTCTCGCCAGTCGAATCTTAGCCTGCCACTGGTTCCACTGGACGCCTAGCCCACAAGCTAATCCTGGTATCAATCCGCCGGCACCAATCACATCTTCACATCCGATCTTCACTCTGTGCAATACACATCCGACTTGAGGAAGAGAATCGATTTAAACTCAGGTTTGGTGGTGTCAACCGACGCTCTTCATTTTCCCTTCTGACGCATCACCACATCTTCAAACACCTTCGCTTCAGCGGATGGCCTTTGAGGCGTACCAACGCTGACTTCGCCCAGAATCAGAAGAACGGTACCTCCTCGCTACAGCGTCGTATTCTAGACGCAATCAAGTCTACACGACCAGATCAGCTCCTCTTCTGCACGATTTCACTTGTTCAACCTCGACACAAAGACCGCACGCTGACCGACGTCGAATCAACGCTGAGTCGCCGAGTCCCTGGCGCCCATCCCCATCACTTACATTCACACAACCTTCACGTCAGTTGCTGCTGTCTTGCAATGTACCCCCTTTGCATCTGTACACTATAGGGAGAAAAGTTGGGTTTCGAGGAGTCTCTTG